AGCGAGGATAACATATTTCAATACATGACTCGAGAATAATATTTAGAAATTATTTAATGATGTTGTAGGAGTAAGAATTATAAACAAAAAAGTGTTTTTTGTTCTGGTAAATTTGGAAGAAAAAAAAAGTAAAAATATTTGCAAAATTATTTAAATATTTTTAATTAATTTGCTTTAGGTGTTTATTTATTAACTATATTTGTTTGCTCCTTATTTAATAATTTTAATTATGCAATTCAAATTATATAATATTTTTTTGAGGTTAATTCCATCTATCATCCCTTTACTATTAAAAATAGTATAATTTAAATCTTCTACTATCGATTGGCTTCATGTCCTCCCTCTACTATTAATTAACTCCACCTGTTGTCCCTTTACAATGCAAAAACATGCCAACGTTGTCCCTCCATCCAATGTAAGCTAATGGTACTGTTTATTGACTGTTAAATGCAAACGAGGGTTAATGTTAGGCCTTTTTTAATCTTTTTTTTTTTTTTCACCTTGTCTTGTGGGCCCCACCCTTGCCACATGATCTCTCACAACATCATCTCTCACAACGTATAAGAAATCCTCGAATCACCCTCTTATCCCTAATTTCTTTCTTCCTTTCGAAACCCATCTAAGATTAACACAAATCGAAATCCCTAAATCAAAAATCTAGGTTTCTTCCTTTCTTTCGAAACCCAAATCAGAAATCCCAAAATCTTTTCCCCTAATTTCTTTCTTCCTTTCGAAACCCATTTGAGATTAACACAAATCGAAATCCCTAAATCAAAATCCCCAACTCAGAAATCTGGGTTTCTTCCTTTGTTTCGAAACCCAGATCAGAAATCCCCAAATCTTTTCCCTAGATCAGAAATGAAAAACAGAAAAATCTAGGAGAGAGTGAATGTTGACCTGACGGAGAGTGACAAAGTGAAGGAAGGTTTGTGTGAGGAGTTCTTTGAGCTTCAATTTCGGTTTGTTTTCTCTCTTTATGGATAGTAATTTGGCGACGATCTCCTCTACCGACACCTTACTCTCCTTTAGCATGTTGTATGGAGATTTCTCCACTTTGGTTGGTGGCGCCACCTGCTCTCTTTCTTCTACCACCATTTCTTCCTCCATCTCTCTGTCTTCCATCTTTCCTCCTTCAGTGTTTAGTGCTTGTTTAATGTGGTTGGAGCTTTTAATAAAAGTTCTGTTGGAAAGAAATTGTTGTAGAAGTGTTGTTTTTGTAAATAGAAAGAAAAATAAAGATAAAATAGAAATAATGTGTTAATTTCATTAAAAATTAAATGAGAAGCTCCTGCAAAAGCACCAATTTGGTGCTTCTGAGATTTGCAATCAAATAAACAAAAGACTAACTTATGAGAAGTTGTAATATTTTTCACAAATTATAGTGTTTGGTGTAGTTGGAGTTTTGGAGTCTAAAAGAACTTCCCACCAACTGTACCAAACATAACCTTAGTGTGTTACTGTTGCTTCGACCAAACAGTATATTCAACAAACGTCATTGTGCCATCTGGTTCTTGAAAGGCATTGTTGCTATTGCGTTTATGAAGGAGAAATTCACACTTTCATCCCAGAACTTTAAAATTTTTCTTTTCGGACCTAAAATAATTTATTATCAAGTACGCCTCTAAGCAAACCACTTAGTAGCGCAAGTGGTTAAACCACTTTGATCCCTTTGGGTGGTATGCATTGGGTTTGAGATTGGCCCATCTTCTTTTTCCCTCGTAACTAAGACTATTTTATCAATCTCCACAAATCTTTCATTAAATTAATTAACCACAAACATAAAAAACTTCATTTTTATTGTATACCTCTGAGGCCATTCTCTACTTTCCTGCTGTTGATCTTGGATTTGTGGACAGCTTTTCCTTTTCCTTGTGCAGAGATTTTAAAACTCAGATCTCAAGTATGATCGTAAAAGTTAAAAATTGTACTAAAAGTATAGAAACTTGAAAATTTTTGGAGGTAAAATAGACAGAAAATGGGGTTGAGTTCCCACCAGCAAGATCCACGTTGGGGAGGCAGTGAGAAGTCCAAGTTAAGGCAAAAAAAATTTGTGAGAGATGATGTGGCAAGAGTGGGGCCCACAGGGCAAGGTGAAAAAAAAAAATAAAAAAGGCTTAACCATTAATTGCCGTTTGCACTTAACGGTCAATAAACAGTATTGTTAGCTTACATTGAATGGAGGGACAACATTAGCTTGTTTTTGCATTGTAGAGGGATGACAGGTGGAGTTAATTAATAGTAGAGAGAGGACATGGAGCCAATTGATAGTAGAAGATTTAAATTGTATTATTTTTTATAGTAGAGGGACGATAGATGGCATTAACCCTATTTTTATGAGCTTAAAACTAAAAATTTTATTTTCAAAGTTATAATTTTTTGTAGTACTATGTTAGAAGCAGAAATTAACTTTTAAAACAAGATTGAATATATTTAAATAATGCCTTCTAAATTAAGTCAAGAATTCAAATTTTGTTACTTATAATTAAGAAACTCAATTTTTTAATTCACTAAGTTAATATAGGAGGTGTTGATGATATCACTTTGGGAGAAAATAATCTCATGTTAAGCATCATACCATAAAATCAGAAAAATAAAACTTTAAAGCACTTACTCCCTCTTAATTTCTCAAAATGGTAGTCATTTTTTTTACTTGAAATTTGGTCTAGACCAGATTAATTGTCCTTCTTTGTAAATAAATTTTTTTCTATTTTAATTTTACTGTTATCCTCTTATCCTCTTGACTTTAATTAGTCAATCTATTACAAGTCTCTATTTGGCGAAACTGTTGAAAACTACTGACCAACAAATACCTAGACTTTGTTTAACAATATTTTTTTTGTCTTTTAACTTTTAATTTATATATTTTTTAATATTTTAAAAATATATAAAATATTAAATATATT